CAGCCGTTGGGTGGATCGAACCCAGCAACGGTCCCCAGCGCCAGCCTGAACCCCCCACGCCCTCCAAGATCGGGGCTGGCGATTTCTCTCTTGCCCACCGGCCTCCTCCCCCCCCCCGGCTTTCCCGACCTCCCCGCGCTCACCTGCCTGTCTCCTCCCGAGGTCGCGAGCTCCAACGAGCAAGGCGAGCGAGGGCGCGTCCCTCCGGCCCCAGAGAGCGCCTAGCGCCGCTGCTGCGCGGGGCTCAGGCGACGCGGTTCCCCAGCGCGGAGGAGGAGGGAGGGGGAGGAGGAGGAGCGCCGCCGCGGCTCTTCTGAGCGTAGCCCGCTCAGCTCCGAGCCAGGAGGAGGGGTGGGGCAGCCCTTGGACAGTACTTGGCCAGCTCGCGACGTCAGTGGCCGCTCCAAATAAACCCCGGTCACCTGTTCCGCTAAGGAGGGGCCGGCAGAGGGGCGGTCAAATCGGATGATTCTCCGGTGCGTGTATGTTAGCCCTTCGAGGTGGTTCAGACGAGAAGCACGACAATCAATACTAGCTCTATCGCTATTATAAGGTTACATTAACAGAATCTTGCAAGTCTGAAAGTACCCCTCCCCTCCCTCACTTTTACTCTCCCGAAAATTAGGGAGGGCCCTGCTTTCTCCACCCCCATCCCCCCTTCAGACTCAAATTTCGTTTATCAGTCTGATGTCTAAACTGTGACTCTTCCTTCTGTCTCCCAGGGTCATTCCCACATACCATTACATGCAAATGTGGTGAGAAGATACATGGACAAGCTACCCTTGGCTGGATTCACACAGCATAGTAAGCCAGAATGTACATGTTTGGGTTTTGACTTGTTAGGTGTGCTAAACCAGACTTTGTGGTCTGTCAGCTGTGATTTGTGGCTCAGGGTGTTATATGAATCTTGGCCAATGGTGTTTTATTCCATGCAGCATTGCTAAAGCACCATAGTTTAGTGTGAAGGGTGAACTGGGCCTACAATTTGACTAATGTAGTTGAGGATACAGATTGCCTGTATGATACTTTATTAATTTAGGTCTTAAAACTACCTTACAGCCCAGGATTAGCTTGTGCTGGAACTTGGTGCCAACCAAGACTGGAATAAAAGCAAAATAAAAGATCTGGGGGTGTGTGCATTTCCAACAAGCTAGGCAGATTCCAGCATGCTCCCACGCGTCCCTGCATTGCCTTCCAGTGCTGGAACACAGTGCTGTATTTATTTAAAGTTAGAAGCTTGGCTGGAGATTTATGGAGTTGTTGTTTATGTAGGTCCTCTTCTAGAAAGTTGCTAGAAAATGCCACTTTGTTATTGAAAGGCTGAAAAGCTTAGCTCACAATCTGGGTTCAAGGAGACAAGTTATAATCAGTGCTATGGGAATGTGAGAGGATTAAATACCTTCGACAAAGTTGGGGATAAGAAAACTATCCAGCACTATGATCTCCTTAGAAGAAAGGTGGAGTAACAATAATGATAGCCCTGTATGGTTCCATTAGTCAGGAATGTTCTTCATAAGTAAGAATTTTAAGGAAGTGACGCACTGTTGGGAAACCACTGAAAATACTTAGTGTAAAAGCTTGACCACAGATAGAATGGTTAGAGTGGCCTGGAATGCTTTTTCCGATCTGTTTTTAAAAAATATTTTGTAGGTGTGTATTTTTTCTTTGATACCCCAGGAAGCATAAAGACATGGATCCCTTCACTTGTACTGTGAGATGGTAACCCAGTTTATTCAACCACTTCAGGATTCTGCCACATGGAGGAAATAAATGGAAGAACCAGGAATCCAGCCCACAAACGCATCCAGTAGAAGAAATGTGGGGACTCCTCAGGGTTTGAACTGTATGCTCTTTGCACTCCTTTGTAGCTTTACAAGAACCTAATGAAACAGGCTAGGCTAAACAGTAGTTAATTTCCAGCTCACCCAATGAAGTATGCTGTACCTATTGATTTACCCTCTGCCAGCTGCTACAAGAATGCTGACTAGATAGGTAGACATCGTAATGCACCATACTGACATCTCAGTTAAGAGCCCTCTTTTCCCCAAAACTCATGGTTAACCATAAGAAAACAACCCTTCCCCAACAAACTGGAATAAAATGTAATCCAATCCATTAAAAATATCTACACTCGGTCCGAACAGGTATCTCTCATGTTGCTGGCAAGAAATGATCTTCATTAGATTTTGCAAAATGCAATTGCCAATTTGCCTTTATAGTTTAATAGAACTTAATCTTTGAATTTGGAAACCTGAGAAGGTGAGTGTTCCTACCTCCTGAGAAAACCTCTGTGGTAAGCAACCTTCAAAACATTCACATCTTTTTTACAGCCAAGTTGGAGTCCTGACGTTTGTAGAGAAGATAGGAAAAGGAGGTCAACCACAGAAACCTCTCCAAGGTCCTGATGGCAGCTAATAACGGCAATAAAAACAAAGATGCGGAAAAGCCTCAGAGAAGTGAGGATTGTTTCTTAGGAAGTCACTGCACTTTTATCACCGCAAAACAATTGCCAATTGATAGAGGGAAGTTCCAAGGAAAAAAAAATTAAAGGGAAATTATGAGTGATAGACTGAGGGAACACTGAGTAACCATTGCAACAGCTTTATTGGCTTCCAGTCCTGTTTCCAAGCATAGTTAAGTGCTAGAGTTCATCATAGAAATATTTAATCAGCAGTTGGCGGAGGGTAAATTGGTATATACAGGTCTGTAAGTGTTAGGAGCTGGCTCAAGGTAGAATACCTGTTTGGGCATGCAGAAAGTCCCAAGTTCAATTACTGGTATCTCCAGGGTGGGATGATCAAACACCTGCCCCAAATCCAGGCAAACTGTGGCCAATCTGTGTTGACAAACAAGGATTTGATCTGGTAAAGTGCAGATTTCTAGTTTTCTTCTGTTTGGTTATTTGCAGGAGATTAGCAAGTCAAGTCAAGTCTAATGACGTCAAGTCAAATAAAAGTTTATTATTACAGCCAAAGGCTAGCCAGGAAATTAGCAAGAACTACTACTGATTTAACAAGAACCACAATCTTTTGAAGATAACAACCCTCCTACATTAATTGGTGAACTTAAGAAAACTTGGGGAGAGGAGGGAATCGCTTTGGGCAAGAAAGAATATGTCAAGGAAGTGAGACTTGGGAAGAAAATCATTGTTTACTCTCATGAAACCAGAAGCAAAACTCTAGAAGCAAAAGAAGTGGCAGATAATAAATTAATCACAGACCAGCCAACTGAAATACTTAGAAGGGCAACTCACCAGAAACAATTTTAAAACAACGAACCTACCTATAGATATAAAGACAGAAAGCCTTCGACAATACAAAGAAAGGCTTCTATTAAATTATATGGAATACTGACTTCAGGAAATGTTTTCATTACCAACTGATGTTAAGCTTAACATAGAAGACACTTCTATGCCATTGCAGCTAAATAAGCCAGCCAAGATTAAAAGAAGGCATGGCTTAACATGATGGAGAGTACTAACCCTATTCCATCCATACGCATTCTCCTGTTTCTTGTTAACTATGTAATAGACATTTGTTAGGGCATGAAGCAAATTATGCATGAAGGCGTTTCAGCATAGCCCACATATCAAGTGCCATCTCACAAATGAAAATAAGCTTCTTAAGAGCTAAATGAATCTGCATTTAGGTCAAGGAGCAGTGATGCAATAAAAAGCTGATGGGTGCCTGTTTCTATGGGAACTCGCTTTGTAATGACATATACTTTAAGAAGCCTGGGCGTGGAGCTTCCTCTCTGTCCAGAAATAATCCATTTTGGGTGCTTTCTCACTTGGGAATTCCTGGGACTCAGAGTGATAGGCAGACTGTGTTCATGCTTTATCCATAACCTACTTACCTTGGCTTATGCAATAGCAAACAATTGGCAATTCTACTGCAAAATACAAGTAAGCAGCCGGAGCATATTTAGAAGAAGACAGCATGTATTCTGTTTGTACAAAGTAGCTCTTTGTAGCACAGTTGCTTTTGCTACAGTTCTGATTTGTGTTGTGTAAATCAACACAACAGTCAAGCTGTTCTTATTGGCTGACTCTACAGGATCATGTGAGCATTTTCCTGGAAGAGGCCTTTAGAGTCATCAGTGTGAGCTGGCTTTTCTTTTTTTTAAAAAAGTAGGAATAATGATGGGGATTGTTTAAAAATGGTTTTCATTCTGAGTACAGATGGATATCGAGATGCTGTGTTAACTATGTGATATGATTCCCATTTTTAGAAAAGGCATGCTTAATGCTGCTTGAAAACAGATCTGAAGGCAAAGCAGCTATACAGAGGCCCTTCCCAGATCAGGGATATGATGCAAGTCTTTGGATTTCCTGTTGAAGATCCTCCCCATGGTGACACTTTGGGAGAAGCAAGTCACAAAGGAGGGGGTTATTTTCATAAGAAAATTGCATCTGCACCAGCATACTTTGGACTGGTTCAGTGCAAAGCTGTTTTTCCTCTGGAATAAAAAGGACAGTGTTAAAAATAGACTTTTTTTTTTTTTACAAGTGCAATATGTAATTTGACCCTTTAGAACACCAGAGGATTGTGTACACCAGATATATGTATATGTATATGTATATATGTATATATATATATATATATATATATATACATATACATATACATATATCTGGTGTACACAATCCTCTGGTGTTCTAAAGGGTCAAATTACATATTGCACTTGTAAAAAAAAAAAAGTCTATTTTCCCAACAGTTCGAAAACTTACATGAGTAGATAAATGGGGACTCTCACTCCGGTGGGAGGAAAAATGTTGGCGGCGCCTTGCAAAGGGAGACGGGAGCAGTTGCTGATAAGCACGAAACTGTGCTCGCCCGAAAAAGGGCACGAAGCAACGGAAGCCCCACCTCCTG